GGTGACCACGGGGCTACGGCGCGGCTATTTTTTACCTCACTCTCAAAGGTTCTCTGACACCGGGGGACTGGATGGAAGAGGAATGGATGGATGGGGGTGCGCGAGATCAAACGGGCAACTCCAGCCTAGAGGGAGCCTGCTGCACCATAGCCCAAAGATTAAAAAGAGGATGCCGTGCCAAAAAGGATAAACGAGTTAAGAGATGACAACGACGTGCGAAGATGGATGGAGGTCGACCCGGGAGTTGTATCTACGGCGCCAGGGGGCGGTGAAATGGCACAGCGAGGACACAGCAAGTCCAACGTGTGCGCCGTACTGTGGGCGACTGAGCGAGCGCGGGATGCTTTATTCTGCCTCACATTTCCAAGGGGGGGAAGGGCAGAGCAGACAGAGTCAGTTGCTGCTGGCTCCTTGGTGCTAGCTAAGCCAGGCCGGGAGTAGAAAGCCGGCTTGCTGTTTTGAAATGAGAAGCAGCGTGTCACAGAAAACAACGTTGCTTGCGTGCGGCCGCAAGAAGGAGGCTCGGTTGGCGCTGCTGGAAGGGGCCAGAAAGGCAGCAATGCACAGTTGAATAAATCGCTCATAGACTGGCGCTGGCTGGTGATGCGAAATTACACAAAGTTGAAGTCGTTGGAGCTGGATATCCAAGTATCTCTTGGCGCAAAGGAGGCTCTCCTGTGACTTGCCAGTGACAACCAATCAAGGTTTTGGCGCATCCTGCCCCGTGCTTTTTTATTTTTGCTTTATTTCTTTTCGGCCTGCCCTTGCTGCCTCTTGGCTTCTCCCCGAGTCCTGGCTGTGGTGGCTCTCTGGTCGCCCACGCTTCTTCTGCCCTAAGCTATGCGGTAAGAAGCATGGGTGAGTGTACCCCAACTCGTCAACTGCCTAGGTAACGGACGGGTGGAGGTGGGTGTAGAGTCCACTTGGGGTTCGGGCCTTGGCCCTGTGTCTTGTTTTCTGCTACTGCTGCCGGTTGATGGAAGCGGATGACACAAGAGAGAGAGAGAGCGCGCGTGTGAGAGAGGACGGCGGGAGTGAGACTGTGAAAAGCGTGTGTGAGGAAGAGAGATTCCGTAGCTCCCCTTACCCTCCTCCACCTCTCTGTACGCCCTAGGGTCCTTCACCCCCTCCCTCCGGTCCTTCACCTCCTAGCTGCCTCCCACTCTCCAGCCCTGCATCCATCCAGTCTGCATTCAAGGTCCTTTCCAAGCTTGCATTTCGATGGATCAAGCTCCTGCTGCTAGACGAGACGGGTTGAGAGAGAGAGCTGGGTTGGGGGTCTCACGGTCTCATTGACGTCTTGCGTCCCTGCCGCCGCTGCATGTCACCGCCAGAGTCAAGGGCAAAAAAAAAAAAGGCAAGAAAAAGACGACGGCTCTGGTTGGTCAGCACTGCCACAATTTTGTTTCTCTTCCCCAAATCCGTCATCCAACTCCAGCGGCGGCCAGTCCCTCGTTCCCAAGGCCCCGTCATTCTCACTGAGATTTGGGCGCGTGCAAGTTGCAATGCAGATGTGGAGAGAGGCAGGAGACACAACAAGCTGCCTGTGTCTCGGTTTGCTGCAATGAGTTAGCACCGTCATCCGGGATTTCCCACTTTGAAGTCTTGCTAAGGCTCGCGAATTGCATCCCACAATCTGCTGGTTTGTTGGCTCTGCTGCTGACTGCCCCAGATGCTAATGGCTCATGGCCTCCATCGCATGTCTAGTCTCCTCGACATGTTATTGCCTATCGCAGAGAATCTGGATATTGCGGTCAGCAACTAACTAAGCTGTCCGATCCGTACCAGCCAACGCTCTTTTGTCATATTCTCATTGTTCCCTAAATAAACAGCACCAGCTCCCGCCTCCTCTAATTCTCTTTGTGCGGTCGGCACCGAATCTCCCATCACCGCCTCTTCCCCAAGCAATCCAGACTCGCGCGGCCACCGCTCATTGAAGATTGCACCTCACCCGACTTAGATGGTAGACGTCCGGCGGACGATGGGCATGGATCGCAGTCTCGCAGCCCATCCCGCTTACTCGGCTCTGCTAGCCCGTTCGCCGCTTCGAATCGGCGCCTGCTCCCGCTCACACCTCTTGCTTGCTTGCATCCTTCAACCTGCTTGTTGCTCCTTTCCCCCCAAAACCCAGTCTAAGTGATTCAAGGCATTCTTACCATGCTGTACTTGTGATTAACGCTCTTCAGCATGGCCGGTAGCAAAACGTCAATGGCCCTCTCCCAATTGGCTCCCACTTATACGTACTCTCACTGCCACAATTCCCCCTCATCTTCAAGCTGGATTCTATTGCCTCAACCTAGGCCATTTCAATGGAAAGAGCAGCAGCAGCGCATGCAAGTGGGAGTGCAAAGTGCTGCATCAGCTCCAATCAATCCAAATCACCTCCGCCAGCCAGTCTCTCGGCCGGGGGAACGAACGAACGAACGAACCCACCTTGCCTGTCGGACATACAGCCCTGACGCATACCCGGTCGTCTCCCCGCCCAGGGCAGGGCGCCAGCAGCAACCACAGCCGGCAATTGAACGTCCCAGTCTCTCTTCTGCAGTGCCTCCTTCATGACGATGTGTGAGCCTTTTTCTGCACACACGCTCTTTTCTACTCCCACTCTCTCCCACCCGCAAGCAAGCGTTGTTTGAAGTTGAACGACGTTCCGCCCAGAAAAACTAGTGCCGATCTCATCACGCGGCCACTGGGTGGTAGGCGGCCTCCTGGGCTCGCACCCCGGTTCCTGTTCGTTCGCTAGCCCACTCCACGATTGCCCTTGTTCCCCCAACGGCAGCAACAGCTTCAGGCCTCGGGGAGGGTCCTGCACTGCACCCTAAAGTCCCGCATGCCCAGACCGACAACACCTCTTGCGACGAAGGGGGAGGAGGGAGGAAGCTGCCGGATGGACCTGGACGTGGGTAGGGGTAGGTAGGGTTTTTTCCTGACCCCATCTACATAGTTCTCCATACACGATGAGATTGATTGACGAGCAGGAGAGGAGGAGGGAGATGGCAGCCGAGGGACCAATGCTCGCGTGCAGTGCAGAGAGAGAGAGGGGACGGACCCGAGAGGATGAAAGCTCCCCTCCCGCCCAGCCGGCCAGTCGCCTAATTCCCTGCTGACACCCTGCCTAGACGGACGTGGACAGAAGCTGGCCGTCCCGATACATGCCATACCCGCGCACACAGGCACAGGCCCAGGTAGCTAGCTGGGCGGTATTGGCACTGCTATGCGCTGCAATGGAAGAGCAGCAGCGCAATGCGTTGCTGCTGACTCTGATTCTGACTCTCCCATTCTTACCTCACCGTACCCCAAACACACGTCCTGGGCTGCGCGTCCGCTGTCGTGTGTAGTTTGCGTACCTAGTCTGCCAATGCTGGCGCAGCATCAGCCAGCCAACATCAATGTGCAGAACTGGAGCTTCCAGACCCGCGAGGAGAAGGTGCTGTTACGTCTGTCAGGAACGAGCTGCAGAAAGCAGAGCGGGAAATTGTACGAATACGTCTATGAGGGGCGTTGGTGCTGCTCCTCTTCCCAATTCAACACCGGCGTACGCCCGCACACACGCCGTGGGCCACGCACACCGTCACTCAATCCCTCACACACTCACTCAGTCACTCTGCTACTCTGCAAGGCAAATACAGTACAGTCAGTCCTGGTAGTCAGTACGTAGTCGCTGGCTGATCATTACTAAGGCAAAAAGTCAGTCAGTCGGTCCCCCATTTCCTTTGATGACTTTTCAAAGGTGCCGGGCACCGTAGGTCGGGGTCTGCCGACAAGATGGCTCCGCGCCACGGGGCCACACATCTCTAATTCTGGCCGTCGGTCAGTGCTTTTTCGTCGCTCTTTTTTTTTTCCCGCGTGGGCAACTGGGCATGGCATCCATCGCCATCGCCGTGGCCTATGCAGTCAGTTCCAGACCAGCCAGAGCTGGGTTTGCCAGCAAAGAAATTCGGACAAGACCAGGCCGGACTGAGAACAGCACAAGACTTGAGTCGGTGCATCCCATCTCATCCCAATGCCACACACGCCAATCCGTCCTTCGTCTTTTCGTCGTCTCTTTCGCCTCTCGCCCTTTCGCCTGCTTTGCTTCTTACCTGCTGTTACGGCACCAACATCCGGTCATCCCATCTTGTTGCATCCCGTCCAGCGCCCAGTTTGGTTGACGAGAAAAGCACACAAAAACTCAAAATCCCCTCCTCTTCTTTTTTTTCTCCCCTGCCTCAAGTGGCGCATTGCACTTGCATATGGAGGGCGCTTGTTTATCCGATCCCCCAGAGGAAGAAGCGGCAACTGCAGCATCAGTCGAAGTCTCGTCTTCGTGCACCGACCGGTTTCCCATCCACTTCTCATACGCTTCCCCCCCGTCAGTCTGTCCTGACCTGATACCGAACTTGGTTTACTCCTCTCAATCTTTTTCCCGCTAGAATTTTCCATCACCGTTTGTTCGTTTCGTTTTCGTTGTTTCGTTGCTGCCGTCGTCTTGGCTCGACTCGAGCGCCGGTCTCCAACTGAATGACGTCGTTCCCCAAAGGGCCGACTCCGCTACTACTGCTGCTGCGCCTCAATCGACCCAAGACCCCTACAGCAAGCAGCTGCACCAGTCAGTCTACTGCGTCTGTCCTGCGTCGTTTCTGTGGTGCTTCCCAGTCCCAGTCCGGCCAGTAGTCAGTCCAGTCCAAGGTCCCAAGATCCAGTCGCTGCACCGCTTCTCCTCGCCGCCGCCCTCCTCCTCCTCTTCCTGCCCCTCGGAGTAAATTTTCGCCCTCCGCACGCACGCTGCTTGGTGGTGGTGCTGCTGCTGCTGCCCAGAGGTCCACGGGTTTCTTGGGTCGCAGTCGTGTCCGTCGTTCGCCCGTCGTTTGGGTTTTTGGGGTCGGGGCCCCCCTCTCTGTGCGACACTCTCTCTCACCTCCCGCCGGTGTCCGTCGACTAGAGTTTGCGTGCACTCTCACCACCCACCACCAAAAGAGCAGGCAATCAGCAACGCAACGAAACCCAATTCCTCCCGCACAATGGCCATCGGTTTGCTGAGTATTCCGAGGGAAATTCGGGACTTGATTCTCGACCAGGTCGTATTCCTGCCCGACCGCGAGCCTCCGCAGAATCCCTCCGTCAGCCAGGGCCGGAAAAGGCGCGAGTACAAGGGTAAAGGTTTTTTTGATGGCCACGACATTTGGGTAGAGAAGCAGCAGCAACGCACACCACCCGCCGGCACGCCCAACACCGCTATCCTCCTCGTTAATCAACAATTGCACGATGAAGCCAAGTCCCTGCTTGCGTCAAAAGGAACCCATTACCGTTTGGACGTCATGTATGTCAAGGAATGTGGCTTGTGGCCGACTTGGCTTGCCGTGCCAAGAACGACCCGCCATGCCGACAGCGTAAACGTTCAGTTCCGCATTTTCGATCCGCCAAAGGATGTCGACCCCGACTGGAAGAACGAAGAGCAGTTCCGCGGCGGCGACGGCGGCCCGCCCTTTATCGTCTGGAATTTTTACGCCATGCTGTCTGGCTACCTGCGATACGGCCCGACCGCCTTTAGCAGTGTCGTCGCCGACCCGTCAAACTTCACCATCAAGAAGCTCGTGATAGACGTCGTCGCCCCACCCGCCAACGAGAAGCATGATCGCCTCGTACCGGGAGGCACACGTCGCGCCATCGACCTGTTTGAGGGCTTCACTCATATGGTCATGGACGCAGAGAAGCGCGAGAGGCGCGGGATCACTTGGCCCCGCCCGCCCGAGGGCAAAGAACACCTCATTCCGGCTGAGAAGCTGGCTTTCTTCATGTGCAGCCAGATCGGCGGCCTTCTCTCCATGTATCGTGACTGGGGCGAGTACGGCGCCGCCCTGTACGAGGGCATCGGCAGCATCCAGATCCGCGTCAACGGCGAGCTGCGCCGCGAGTTCGACATGGACGAGATGCTTGCCAGGTTACCAATCCAGCCCATCACGGCGTGGAATGAAAAGGAACAACAAAAGAGACAGAGACGCTTTGACGAATGGAAGGCCCACGCAACTGCGATAAGACAAGGTTGGAAGAAAGCGTGATGGAGAGAAGAAAGTTGGGGCAATAATGACTTGATGAATTTTTGCTTTGGCCGTACTGGCCTCGGAGGGAGATGACACCCTCCCTCCATTGCATTGGGCGGCGATACCACCGGATAAAAGGGTCCTTTCTTGGGATGGTTTTCCTTTGGTGCATGGTACATGGGGACCAACGAGGTCGGATATGCGGACGGTCTCGGAGCGGGAGGGGTTCGGTACGGATACGGCGCCGGGGACTGAAAGCCGGGACTGCGGGACCGGGGTAATGATGCTCTTCCTATGTTACCGAGATAGGCCTTCAACCGTGGCCCGGAGCCTGGCGATATCAGCGTGGCTTGCTTTGCAGCACCCGCCTACAACAATTTGCTTCCAAATACCACGAGATTGAGCATTTGCGACGACCTCTGTGAGCTGTGCTTCCCATGATGTCTTGGGGTGATTCGATCCCTCCGGGAGTTCCCATTTCTGAGTGGTGGTGTTGTAGACCTCCCCGTTGGTGCCATCCGGGTAGAGAATCAGGGCCGGTGCCTCGGCGACGATGCCGTCAGTGATGAGCTCCTGAACAGCCGACTCATAGCTCTTGACGAGAGACTCCAGCTTCCAGACCTTGGTGCAGTTGATGCCAATACCCCACGGGCGACATGCGGCGATCTCGGGGCTGAGCATGGCTGCCACAGCCTCCTTGATGGATGATCCGTCGGGCAGGCGCTCATCGTCACCGGGGAACAGCGATGCGATCCAGAACGGGAGGGCAGAGCCGGTGGCCAGGACACCGGTCTTGTCCAGAGCTTGCCTGATGGCCTTGATCTCGTCGGCGCGAGGGATGGTCTCAATGGCAACGTAGCTGACGGGCGATGCGAAAGCGCCAGCGTTGTTGAAGAGCTGCAGGCGCTCAAGATGCCAGTCGCGCAACTTTTCAAGTGAGTCGTGGTCCTCGTCATAGGCGCCGCTGTACTCTTGGCCAGGAATCATACATGCGCCGTAGGGACCAATACTGAGAGCGGTCTTGGCGCCATTTGCGCGTCCCGCATCATGGGCGATGCGGACAGCGTCCTTGATAAAGTTGCCAATGGTGGCTCGGTCAATGCCATTGGGATGCTCGGGGGTGCGGGTATTGGCGAACCCATGGATGGACAGCTGGTAGGTGGCAGTGAGGATGATGTCGACGGGGACACCGCCAAAGTCCTTCTGACAAGCAAGCAGCGTATCCTGGCCGTCGACAAGCAGATGAGTAGACCAGAGAGGGGTTGTGGCCGAATTAAACTTGAGGCCGTACTTGTCCTCGAGTGATGTGCCGAGCCCTCCGTCGAGGATAAGGACCCTGGATTCGGCCTCAGTCGCGTCGGCCATTTTTTTGCGATCCGCGTCGAAGTTTAAATACAATGCGACTGACTGACTCTCCGTCTGTCTTGTCCAGATACAGGTGTAAGTAACGTCGGAATCGGGCAAGGTAGGAAATAAAATCGAATAAAATAAAATAACCTCGAGGAGACCCGGACTGATCTGGTCTGGTCTGGTCTGGTCCGGGGAAGCAGCAGCAGAAGGGGTGTCGACGTCGTGTCTTGGGGCTTGGGGGATTTCTTGGGTCTTGGTCTTTCTTGAGAGGGACCTCGTCGGGGTCGGGGCTTGGAAGGGGGGGAGGCGGACGGGAAGCCTGGGCAGGGAGCGGGCTTGGAAGGGTTCCACCCTGGAGAAAAATTTGGGAAAGCATTACGACGACTCTGGCTGACTAACACGCTATTTGGGCTGTTGCCAAGAACAACCGGCAGGAACTTCCGCGAAAGTGCAGCGATGCCTCCTTCCTGCCCTTCAGCTCTTGGCGCAGTCTGGTCTCGCATTCAAGCACACTGCAGTCCAGTTGCGAATGGGGAAGGAGTACGTCACACAATACCGTACCTTCTGTAGGTATGGATGGATACCTTCCTCCCCAATGCCTCCCTTCCACCCTTTGTGCCTTCCTCGTATGTTAGCCTTAGCCATTGTGTAGGAAGGTACTCCCGTCTGTACCTGCCACCTACCTTACCCAAAGACGCATCACGACTTACTTCCATTGCTCTTTCTTTTCTCATAAATGTCACTTACTTTATCAGCACTCAGCGGCAGTGACGATGAGCCTTCCCTCCCTCCCTTTTTCCAATCAATGCTGCTGCACCAACGCACCTTCCTTCGGTCTCGGCATCCCTCGCCGGCGGCCTCTTCTTTTGCCAAGACCCGACCTGCGGCCATCCCATCAAAGGGGGGTGGAGGGGGCCTCAATTTCAATCACTTTCTCACACACAAAATGACACAGCTAACCTCACCAAAAAAGCTTGCTTCAATCCAATCCCGTCGCCAAACGGGAGGGAAAAAATATCACAACCAGGAAAACATCATGCTGTCCCTTTACCTACCTGCAAAATAAACTTCTGTCATCTCATGTTGGAGGGGCGGGAGAGGATTCTACCCCGCGTACTACGCAATACTAGCACAGGAAGCATTGCGCTACCGAGAATGAGCTTTTCTCAGCTTTTCTTTAATACGGATATCAACTTCAAATTGATGCTTCTCCCTGTGTGTGATCCAGACGCGAGCTGGAGACACACTCTTACCAGTCACAACCTTGCCTCCAACGGCGGGGGATAAGCTTATTCATTGGATGTGCACGGCACGCGCGGCAGCTCCAAGTCCCTCTAGAACAACACTAAATGCCCCTCTTCTGATGACGACGGGCACGGGGAATCGAGATCAACCCAGACCAACACTTGTAGAGTTGCCATGTGTCATAGCTTCATGCTGTATGTCGCGAATGACTCTTCCGAGAGCAGCACCTCTCAAGCAGCTATCTCTGATAATCACATTCTTGTCGTGTTCCTCGTCATGACATCCTTCCATTGCGAAACGTGGACACGGCACGGCGTCTTTCTCAACCAAATGGAGCGCATATCGCGCCAGCTTTCGGGAGTGCTTGCCGAATGGCCCACCTTCCCATCATTGCTACCTAAGGTAGACAAGTACCCGCGTATTTAGCTACCATGTTCCAACTCCACCAACTGAATTCCAGAGTATTCAATCCATCCCACATGAACCAACACGAGCAATACTTTTCGCTGAGCCACAATTGTAGTAATCAAGCCTTATGGGGCGCTCGCGCTCCGCGGGCTCAGTTGCAGTCGCCTTAGCTTCCGACGCCGCGACGCGCCGAAAACAAGGGTCTCAGAGTCCGCTCGCCGCCCGCTGTGCGTGTCCAACGGGATCCGTACATGCACCGATGTAACATCGTTTAACTTTAACCGCCAGCAAAGCTGAAGAACCCCACCGAAATATTCGCTCTGGTCTTTGCTGGCTGGCGACGAATGATGAGCTTTTCGTCCACTTCTTGGCGGAACGTCATATTTCCGGCCTCGCTGGCTCCCAAGACCCGCCGAAGAAGACATCTTCGGAGCCGGGCGGGGCACGGCGAAGCGTCCGGCCCCTCCGCCGAGCCGGGAGCTACTATAAAGTTTAGCGGAGCTTGTCAGCAGAAGGGCGCGCTGGGCGTCGGTGGGGCCATACAGGTTTCCCTCGGCGACGACTCACTGCCCCTGATGACCTTTCGTCAAAAACAATCGTCTTCCGACATTCAATCAATCTTGACTTTGCGGCGTCACGAGTGAAGCGTCAGCACTAGTTTTCAGAAGACGAACGAGCCATGTCGACAACCACAGCGACCGCAACAGCCTCCGCCTCAACGTCCGGCATTGAGCTGACGCCCCTCCCACCACAAATCAACCAAAAATCTCCCGGTGCAAGTGTCTCTCAAACGGACGATGATAGCAGCAATGATCCGGTTCTTCAAGCCTCGCGTCTTGCGGATTCCTCTGTGCCGGAAGGCGGCTACGGCTGGGTCGTGGTGACGGGCTGCTTCGTCATTGCGTGGTGGATCATTGGTACATCGTATTCCTGGGGTGTCATCCAAAGCGCTCTCGTCGACGATGGTCTCGCCACGCCCGCCGTGCTCTCTTTCGTCGGATCGTTGGCAGCAGCCCTTATCTCGGCAATGGCCATCATCAACTCGCGCGTCATGCGTCGCTTCGGCCCGCGAAGGGTGGGTTTGCTGGGAATCGCCTTGATTGGGCTGAGTGAGATTCTCAGCAGCTTTGCTGTCAAAAACGTCGGGGCGCTCTTTGCTACCAGTGGCTTTATGATGGGATTAGGCATGAGGTAAGGATGCTCCCGGTTCTAACCAGGCCATTGGTAATGCTGACATGTCTCCCAGCTTGTGCTTTTCGGTGAGTGGTGATCTGCCATAGGAATGACCACATCTGACACTAGCAGATTGTCTCTACGATCCCAGCGCAATACTTTAGCAGAAAGCGTGGGTTGGCCAATGGCATCGTCTTCGCTGGTGGCGGCCTCGGCGGTGCTGTCAACAGCTTCGCCCTGGATGCACTCCTCAATCACCTCGGTCCGGCCTGGGCATACCGTGTTCTTGCTCTTGTCACCTTGGCTACCGGTCTGCCAGCTGCGTGGATCATCAAGGAGCGGGTTCCAATCAGGAGTTCCGGATTCGTTGAGTGGTAGGTCTACAAAAAGCAGTCTAAATGCTCTTACTAACACGTTTCATAAGGCGCCTCTTCAAGTCCTTCACCTTCCTGGTCATCTTCCTTGCCGGAGCTGTGGGCACATTCCCTCTCTTCGTGCCGCCATTCTTTCTGCCGCTCTACTCCAAATCCATCGGCCTTTCATCCTCAACAGGAGCCGGCCTCGTTGCAGGCTTCAACTTCTCCTCGGCCATAGGCCGCATCTGTTGTGGCGTCCTTTGCGACCACTTTGGCGCTCTTAACGTGTTGTTTGCCTCACTGTTCTTGTCGGCCGTTAGCGTCCTCGCCATCTGGCCGGTTTCAACGACACTGGCGCCCATGATTTTGTTCGTCATTGTCAACGGCATCTCCAACGGTGGCTTCTTCTCGACCATGCCCACCGTCGTTGGTAATGTGTTCGGATCCGCCCGAGTATCGGTCGCGATGAGCATGATCGTGACCGGT